TGAGACATTAAATAATTTTTTCGAAAAATATATGTAATAATATGTATGGCTCATACAATTAAGAATTTATAGTTAATAGAAATGCGGATGTTTATACTTCATAGATATTTTTTTATTGAAATCTTGTAAATAATTGAATTAAACAATCGGGTACAAATCACTAGTATCATTTTTATTATATTACGTGTAAAATCACCGGAACGAAGTCCAGACTGCAGATTATTAAGCATTAGTACAGCAGTAGGTTATAGTCATTTTTGCCCAAAAAATTACATTTAAAAGTGTCATAGTGTATTCGTGTATATAAATTATAATAATATACTCTATTTATAGTATATATTTGTGATGTCTATAAATTTGTGGACTAATAAGTTTGGTTAAATTTAGTATACGATAAATAACTGAAATAGAAAACAAGAATACATTGCAGATGACAAAGATATCTGTAAAAGAACACACGGTGTATCAATAGACCGTGTATGTGTGTTGAGTGTAGAAGTTCTATGGATTTATCATATTAAATAATATATTTTATATCATCTATGGCAATCGCCAATCGTCGACATTCGTCTGCGAGGATTAATAATTCTAATAATTTTAGTGAAAAAAAAATAATAAGCCATCAATATAATATACAGATAGTTCGTTAAGCAGTATATATTATAATGTAAGTTTTTAACACGAATTCGCACATTTCGTTATGTTCAGGTAATTTTCATGAAATATTTCGATAGTTTCAAGTTACAGTTCGGAACGAGATGAAGACGGATGAAGTCGATGAAGATAGCTGTTTTTTCGGTGGCTTCACGTACTGGACGTTTGCATTGTTGATGCACTCTAGCTAGGTTTCACCGGAAGAGTCGATGTTTCAGCCTAAGTTTGTTTTCATATTATTTTGGGATTTTCGTTTACTTTTTAGGCATTTTAATAATTAAAAACATAATATAACGCAATGTTGTAGTAGAAGCTGGAAACTGTAGTGCCTATATTCTAATTTTTGAATTTTTTAAATTTTAATGTAACATTTATTATGCCTACACAAAACACTTTTCTACAAAAATTGAATTAACAATATGATCATTGATTACATACGGAGTACCTATAATATATTATGCATGGAAAACGAAGGTCGAATTTGACTACCTACTTATCGTGTACACATCAAACACAACAAAGAAATAATAAAAAAAAATTAAAAATTAAATACACATCATAGTAAAATCAAAATATTCATCGTTCCACTCAGAATCTAAAATACAAATTATAGGTCCCCGATAAAATGTTCATAATATTGAATAATAATTAATAATTTTGTGATCAGCAGTATTCGTAGAAAATGTTAGATTTGAAATTTTAGAATCTAGTTGGTATTATAGCCGATACTGTCAATTTGATGAATTTACTGAGTATACCTTTATATTACCTAAAATCCAGTAATCACATTTTTATTTAATGATTTATAAAATACAATAAGCTTTTATAAAAATTGCTTGTACTTCTATTGAGATATGCTATATCTATTCACCATATTAATAAATAATTAAATTGATAAACGAAAATAAAAATTCAAATAATATATCATATTTGATACCTATTATTATAATTCAAATTCAAAATTATAAGCTATTTTGATTTTTGTCATACAAAATTTCAACGAACAATTAATATTGTTCCTTAAAGGTCCCCACACACTGCAGCGGTGGTGGTGGCGGTGAATTGCTGTAGGACACATTTCACCGCTCACCGCGGCGGTGAAGCCAAGACAATAGAATTTAACGTCACCGTCGCCGCCACCGCAGCAGTGTGTGGGGAACTTTACATGGAACTCTTTGATATAAAAAGTTGCATTATATGAAATCCGTGGATTCATCATATGACGTACCTAGTATAATATCTATCATTATTCATTTATATTCCATGGCAAATCTCAAATTCATTGTAGCAGACACAATCGTCATTAAAAATTCCAAAATTTCAATAAGCAAAGCAGTTATGAGCAAAAAACTTACTGCGTTCCTTATAATTTTATTTTCCATAAATCACAATATTAAGTTCTGTATTCTCTGAAGCGTTTCGTCATCGGCGTCACAGTTCTCACACTTTACGGATTCCGCCGAAAGAGTCGATAACTAAACTATTAAAGTAAGTTTTTTTTCATATTCTTTTGGGGCTTAATTTTACTTTCATTTTTTCTAAAATATATGGTAAAAAATAAATCATATTTCGCTATAAAAAAATAATAAAACATAAAGTATTTTAAATTTGAGTGGAATAATTTTTTATGATCATAACCACATTGCCTACAGATTATTAAGCATTAGTACAGCAGTAGTTTATAATCCAAAAAATTACATTTAAAATTGTCATCGTGTATTCGTGTATATAAATTATAATAATATACTCTGAGGGCCGTTCTTACAATGTCCGGTAAAGTGTCGGTTAACGCTAACCGACTAATAACAGATTTTATTACCTGCAGGATTATACGGGTTATGTGTAGGTTAAATTTAACCGGACATTGTAGAACGGCCTTAAAACTTAAAAGTTTTATAAATCCACGAACACCTACTATTTTTAAATTACAAAAAAATAACTAAAATCGTTATTCTTTGTTTTAATAAGTAATTTCGTCCAAATTTGAACTTATAATGTCTGTGAAAATTAACTGTGTTTTTAATAAATTATTTAGTTTTTTTTTTTTGTTAGAGTATGAACACTCACTATGAACTATTTTTGAGAATTCTTGTTTTACATTTTCAATCGTTACCAATAAAAGTTGAACATTTTATAAATTTTACTACTAAATAGTAATTTGTAAACTATCAATTTGATAAATTTTGTTAAAAATTGAACTTTAATTTCTTAAAAAAATGGATCTTATATGGATCTTTATTGTTTCTCAATTGCTATTATAACTGCTCATGAGGAAACTTTTATTACATTTTCATAGTATAGATAAACAAATAAGACATTTTTGTATGAATATCTGACTACAAAATATTTTGAAAATTGTCAAGATTATGATGAATTTTGTAGAAATTTGAATTTTAAATGCCCGTAAAAAAAACGTGCTGTATATTTCTAATATTTCTTTAACTGAATATTATATCAACTTTACGATTGATTTGTATTATCTTTAGCCTTTTGACCTCCCCAACGAATAAAATTCATCAGAATACGAAACTTTAAAAACATTTCATAATTTTTCAAAGGTCTAAAATCACTTGAAAACGAGTCCGAACTATTTGAACATTATATAATGTATATTATGATAGTTTACACATTTGATGGACCATTTTAAATACCGACCGGTTAATAGTTGTGAATAACAACAAATAAGGAAAATCGTTATGACGAGAAGTTCAGATCAAAAGCAGGGTAAAGAATAATATTCAGTCGGCCCGTAAGTCCACTCTAAATACAAGCTAACACAAGCCCGGATTAAGG